AGATATATATGCAGCGCCTATGCAAAATCTGTAACGAAGGCACCAGTGACAAAAGCTGCTACCAAGAGAGAGAGAGAGAGAAATGGCACTTTGATCACCGGTTTGATTAATTATATGGCGCTGACAGGGATTTTGAGAGAAAACTTACATAATGTGTCTATAGATCATAATGTGTTTACTTACAACTCACTGATCAACGGGTTTTACATGTAAGGTCGCCTATATGAGGCTATGAAAATGTTGTATTTGATGGAGAGCTATGGCTGCCTCCGGAATATAGTGACTTATACTACTCTCATACATGGAGTTTGCAAGTCCAAGAGGGTAGATGACGGTGTGAGACTCTTTAACGAGATGTCTCGGAAAGGATTAGCTGCCAACACAATCACTTACACGGTCTTTATCCATGGTTATTGCTTAGTAGGCAAACCCAATGGTGCACAAGAGGTGTTCAACCAGATGGGTTCTCACAATGCGCCTCCTGATATCAGGACCTACCACGTGCTGCTAGATGGTCTGTGTTATAACGGGAAGGTAGAGAAGGCATTGATGATATTTGAGTACATGCGGAAGAGAGAAAAGGATGTTAGTATTGTTACGTATACAATTGTTATTCGAGGGATGTGCAAGGTTGGTAAGGTGGAAGATGCTTTTGATTTATTTTGTAGCCTTTTCTTCAAGGGAATGAAGCCTAATGTTGTAACATACACTACAATGATATCGGGATTTTGTAGGCCAGGCCTAATTCATGATGCTGATGCGTTGTTTAGGAAAATGAAAGAAATGGGTTTTTAATTACCAAATGAGCGTGTGTCTAAGTAGTTGACAATCATATGAGGAGATTGAAATACTTTTATATGATGATGCTGTTGCAGTTTGGGAGAGCACATACACAGGTTAGAAACTTATATTGCTTCAGGATGAGGTATGCTGTATTGGATAAAGTAATGTTTAACCTCCAGTACTGTTGTGGAGTGTAACCTTTTCAGGTACAATATAAAGTTTTGCTATACCTCGTCATGAAAGAATCAATAGCATATGGTATCAATGATTCATGTCCGAGGAGATCTCTTCTTGACAGGTATTTTTTTGGTTGAAGACTTGTTTCTATCTTCAAGATTCTGCATTGAAGCAAATTCGAGTATTGAACTGGAATAGTATTCTCTAGAAATATAATCAATATATAGATAGATAGTCAAGAAGGTATCTGTATAGGACATGTAAAGATTGATCAATAAGCTTGTTGAGTTATGAATCTCTACTGGTGTAAAGGGATTCGGATTTTGTGAAGAAATCCTTTTAGACTTTACTGAATGAATGTAAAGTTGTAAACTAATACATCAAGAAGGGATTCAATAAACCGAATTATCTGATTTATACCAAACAAAACCCGGTTTGATCCCAATGTTATTTTACAATGGTTAATTATCTATACTATATTAAAAGGGCTTAATCCTGCCCTCTGATTAAGCCACGTCAGATTTTTTATTTGTCCAATAGGGATTCTTTGTTCTGCCACATCAGAAACAACTTTTACGTTGAAACCTGCTCCAGATTATGGCCCAAGTTTCGTTACGTCAAGTTGCAGGCCCATTTGGCCCAAGGCGTGAATAAACCTAATTTCCCGTATACGTAGCTTGCCGTTCTCTGTTCTTCTTTCTTCTTCATCGACAGTGTAGAAATCGACGATTGGATTTCTCAACTGAAATCGTTTCATCGCCACCACCCCATTAATCCATCTCTGGGCCATGAATTCTCCTTTAAAGGCTTTCGTTTGCCTTTCTGAATCTCATTCTATTTATATCGGGTCATTTTAGAAAGGATTTTATACTCTCAAAAATCTCAAACACGATGAATTCCAATAGCAAGACCTCCATATCCGGCGATCTTATCTCCACGAAGTTGATCAACTCCGCCAGCGAGCCTGTGAACCGTTCGTCTGAAACCGTCGGACTCTTCTGCCGTAGCTAGACCAAAAAGAGGCATAACTGGTGTCTCCTCCGCCAACGCAACGATTATCTGTGTGTTCTCCCTTGATTCCGTTTAAGAATATGCTAAGAAAGTGCTATGAATTCTTAAACCAAGAAGTAAACCTTACTAACAAAGAGTTTGTACTTTAAACTTTGTCTTCCATTATTGTCTTAGGTAAACATATGTATTGTTTTTTTTATTCTGCTGTTGCTTTTATTTTGTTTACGAAAGTTGTTCTGGTCCGAGAAGACATAGCTAGACTCCCTTTTCTTTTGGGTTCAGTTGACGCTGTTCATGCTGGTGCTGCTTTGCATTGCTGGCCTTCACCATCCTCAGCTGTAAACCCCTTTTCCTTTATTCAAAAATTTAGCATAAAAACAATGTTTATGTTCTCTTTGGATCTGTTAGGTTGCTGAGATAAGCCGTGTTCTTAGACCTGGAGGAGTATTTGTTGCCCCCACGTTCATCTATGATGGCCATTCAGTTTATTTCCATTCTTGAAGAAGAGAGGATCAAAAGTGCTAGAGGAAGAGAGAAGAGCTCTGATGAGATCTTTGTCTGTGAAAGAGTCTGCACTTCCAAAAGAATTATGAAAAAAGATGGAGCTTTCTCTAAAGATCCTATTCCGGACACTTGTGTTACTGTCTGTGGTGTATCTGAGCTTGACGCTTGCTCTGATGCTTGTGCTCGAACTGTCTGTGTGAATCAGCATCAGGTTGCTAATTGGAATGATATTTGTCTGAGGAGGTGTCTGAGTGAGTATCTTAAACTCTCTTCTTCTTCTCGCTCTTCTTAAAGCTTATGGTTGGTTATTTTCGAGAATGGAAATGGTGTTTTTGTAAGTTAAGTAACGTTACGAGTTTCTGGTGGATTACATTACATTTCATCATGTTTTGAGGATTGTTTGGTAACTTTCTCAATTGTTTTGTGAACTGCTTCTCCTACGCTGCTATAAAAGATTAGCAAGTCACGTTTTGCTTCTTTTTATTTGTTTATTGTTCCAATTATGATTTACAGCAGATATATTGTCTTTCTGATAGCATCTCCATTCTCATCTTTCACCTCTTGATCATCTTGGCCACCTGGGTTGGTTTTCTAATTAGGTGAATTTTCTTTTTATTTTTGTTTTTGATTTTTTCCTGCATTCATTTCAGTACCCGAGCAGATGTTTGTAATAAAGTATAAACAGTTGGGTTGATCTTATAGAACACTAAGAAGATGGAGATGGTGCCAAGGAACAATAATTAGGGTTCTTGAGACACTCCACATCAAGACTAGAAGTATCAGTAGAGTTTAGCTTTTAAGGGTTGATCATCCTTGAGCCTTTTTTTTGATATATGGCTAGCAGGTAACGTTCAAGAGAAGTCAACATTTTGAAACGTATGAGGGGATGAGGTGGCATCCATCTAGAAGGAGGGTCTTATCAATAACCAAGGGGAACAATGCACGTGAGCACCTAACGGAACACATGGGAATGGTGCTGAGCTGGGTACTCCTACTTGCTGCTTACTCTTTCTATTTAAGCAATGTTTTGCGAGAGAGAAAGGTTATCGGGTATTTGAGTGAGTTTAGAGAGGAGAGGATGTGAGATATCTCTAGGATCTAATCAGTTCCTCTGTAATTTCTTGCTACAATCAATATATCTACGTTCTTCTTGAGAAATCTCTGAGTTTACTTATCTTTCAGAGGCTACACACTGTAACACATTCTCAGACAAAAAAAAAATTTGATGGGGCTCTAAGAGATTTTGGAAGGAGCTCTTAAGATAAACATCAGTGGGAAAATAAACACAAAAATTGGAAGACTTTGTGCATTGTCGATGAGGAATAGTGTAAGAGTTTTGGTAATTTCACAAAGAATATAACCCATTAAATTTTAATATTGTTTGATGAAATATAGTTAACCACAACGAAAAGAAGGTTGAATATCACGACTTGAAACAAATTAAGTGACACAGTTGATAAACAGAGAAATAAAAGAAACAATAAAAAGTAATATAGTAAAAACTGTAATAAGAAACATAATTTTTTTTAAAAGTATCTAATGTTTCATAGTGTTTTACAACTTAAAAAAAAAAATCTTTATACCTTACTTTATATTTAAACTAAAATAAACATTGAGAGAATTAAATAATTATATTTTAATTTTGTACTATAGTTAGATAAGTTTATATAAAATTGTTGTATAACAATTATGAATTTTATAAGTCATTTTAACTAAAAGTAAATTTAAAATGAATTGTAGTAATATTTTATTTCTGTCCGTCTGTAGGGTAGATTTATCTTAACCAGACGATAGTGTTAAAAGTTCCATGATTTTCAGGATTGGGCTGAATGAATTTCTGTAAACCAAGTTACGCACTAGCTAAGTTCTTCCAATGGTATGCATAAGAAGGTAAAAGAAACATTCTACATGTTCTGAAATAAAATGGGATCTACTACGCTACTAATACATCAAAACTACACCCAAAATTATAATATTGCTTTGAAAGAACCATCCCAATGACAGAAAAAGATTCAATATGTTTTTGGAATATGCAAATTTGCCGCTAATAATACAACCTCAATATGTTTAAGAACTCATAACAGTGCTTAGCAAATTTGTCGAGTTGTGTCTGTTCCGTCATCGAACCGTAAGTCAACAAAACCGTGATCTAATCAACTCTTTTACACATGTCATCCTTATAGTAATCAGTTATTTCAATATATATCACATGACCATTGTGGTGTACCAGTCCTTTCGGGACGAAGCTGCGGCAATGTTTAGAAGCTTCATCAGCTCAGAATTATTATCATTTATTAAACTCAATATTACACCATAAAACGAATTAAAATGGTTTCAGTTCTAAAACTGTTATTCAACAATCTACTCAAAGAAAAATTCCTAAACCTATAATAATTATTTGAATAGCATTCTCGAACAATTGTTGTTCCAAAGCATTTACTGATGATAATTTTAATGATTTTCAACTACGTTAACTCATATACACAAGTAATATTATTAAATTTACAAAATATAACAGAAATATCCTAATATATGTTACTCAGTTTTTTGTGATGAGTACTATTATTTTTCCTCTCTCATAATAAAAAAAAATACGTAAAAATAATTCCATGTAACAGTAGAAAAAATTTAAAATTAAATTTCCCTTTATATATTAATAAACTAAGTACAAAACAATTAAAATGTTAAGTTAAACTGGTTAAGTAAACACAAACCTCCCCAATTTAATGCAATAATTTAAATATGAAAATATGATTAAATTAAAATGCAGTTTACCAAGAAATATGTGAAATTATTGATCGCTTCAGTATTTGAAACAAAAATTTACTATAAAACCTTTATTGATGTTATTTGCAGTTTAATAAGAACAAAATAATACAAATCAAAACATGTTGAAGCTTTATTAAAATCACACATGAGTATAAAAGATTAAAAATTAAATTGAAAAACCCAAATAAAAATAAACTCCAAACTATCATAATCTACTTTAATGTTGTAGATATTTTCCTGTTTATTAGTTCTAAAATATGAAACACTTTAAAAATAAACATCAATAAAATTATTGAAGAAAATTTACGAAAGTTTACAAAATTAACATCCAAAAACATTTAGGAAAATAATAATATATTAAGTTAACGTTGAGAAAATAAGAAAAAAAATATTAAATAGAAAACAAAACAGAACTAATTACAATATTATATAACTACATTACTTTAAAATATATAATCCGCGCGTAGCGCGGAGAAAGAATCTAGTATTATTAAAACTATGGTAACTGCATAGAAGGTATCACATACAACAATTCTACTTGTTTTATGAATATTTACATTTAACTTTATCTATTTGAACCGTGCAGTGAAATCTTTTCAAAAATTAAGATTTTAATTTAAAATATTAATAAATTTTTAGTCAAACCAGATCCCAGTTTATTTATAATGTAGCTTTAAATGCTAAGAAATCTATAATTTAGTCATAAAAAAGGAATTATATATATCTTTTTTATAATAATAAGTATATTTTTGGTGAAGATAAGAATACAATTATTTGGTGAAAGAAAAGGTGACTTTTATTTGTAGTTTGGGCAAATGAGAGTATTTTTTTTGTATAATTTTCCCTTGAATTTGAGTATCTCCAAATTAAATATCAAAAGGAAAAAAAATCAGGAACCTTAGCTTTGACGTCATAATAAGAACCTTAGCTTCTTCTTCTTCTTCCTTCACCTGATCACTCTCTCTGAATCATAAACCCCAACGAGCAAAACACGATGGACGGGTCCGACGACAATAACATCTCTAATTCCGCAACATACGACATGCGTGGCGAAGTCACACTAGTTGCCATTGTAATCCTTTTCTTCATCTACCTCGTAATGTCCCTCCTCTATCTCTACTGTTGTGTCTCCCCCTCTAGGAGTCATCACATCCGCAGCCGTAACCGCCGCCCTACAATGGTTTTCTTCGTCCCCACCAATCCTTCTCATACAGCCTCACGCGGTCTACATCCCGCCATCCTTAATTCTCTCCCTGTTGTCACTTTCTCCTCCTCCTCCGAAGACGCAGCAACTCGCAGGGATCACATTGATTGCGCGGTTTGTCTTTCGGAGTTTGAGGAGGGAGAATCGGGTCGGGTTTTGCCCGGTTGTAAACATGCTTTTCATGTTGAGTGTATTGATATGTGGTTTCATTCTCATTCCACTTGTCCTCTATGCCGCACTCTGGTTGAGCCTCTCGGTGGAAGTGTAGTACCTGTAGAGGAGCAAGTCGCGATCACGATCCCTCCTGTACCGGTTTCTGCTACTGAACCAGGATCGACCTCAGGATCTGGATCTTCTGCGGAAGATTTAGGGAGAAATCCTGCAGCAATTGAGGGGCCGAGGTCCATCTGATGATTGAGCAGAGATTGAAGAAGCGCTTCTTTCTTTGGAGCTTCATCTCAATCTGCCGGGATAGTGATGATTGAATCGGGTATTGAGCGGGAAATGAGAAGAGAATAAGTGATTTCCGCAACATGGATGTTCCTTAGTGGTTTGATTATGGATATTAACAATTAGTAGAGTATAACCATGATTTAGAGCATTTTTATTGCTAAGAAACATAAATAACATATATTACTAATCCAGTATAAATATATTAATAATTTGTTTTCTATTGTTTCAATATGGTTTATTTGTATAATTTAGTTTTGAAATCTAAAAAAGGATTGAATCATTTACATAAAAAATAGAAATTGAGGGTAATAGTTTTGTTTCTATTGTTTCAACTAGATAAGGAACGCGTACAATATGGTACGGGAATTCATTTTATAAAAATAATTATTTCCTATATAATAAAAAAGATTCTAGCAAGGATTTATAATTGTTTTACGAAGAAATACATGTGTTACAAAATTATCTTGCATGCATATGTATTCTTTTGTTAATAATACTAGAAATCTATATTGTATTTCTAGATTTGGTTGTAATAAAATTACAAACATGTTAATACAAAATAAGATATATACCTTATTATATGTATATCTAAGTTATTTAAAATACTGAACAACTAATAAGTCATGTGCTACACAAATTTATTTGTATAATAAAATAATCAAAATCTCATTCTTGATTTGGCTAAGATACATAAATAACAGATAAAGTTTCTTGTATTTAATGTGTTTCTTTAAGATCTTTGATGATTAATTGAAAAAGTAGATCTTTGTTTTTATCTCTACTACATATTTGCTTTTATTATGATTCGACAATTACCATAACTACTTATAAAGAGAATTAAAAGTTGCAATGGTTAACAACCAAACATTACAATGTTTGGCTACGAGTTCTAATTGTTAATACAAAAAATTGCATTTTTTTCATCTAAAAAGTTCATTATCAATAGTTGCATTGATTTATCATAGTTGTAATAATTCATCACTAAAAATTACCGTCACTAATAATCGCAGGAGTTTACAAATAGATAATATTATAAAATAATTTAAAAAGTTACAATGATCTACTTATATAATGTAATAACTATAGTACATGTAAATATTAATCTTAAGGACAATCAAAGATGTTTACTCTTCTATCACGCGCTCTTTTTAGCTATATAAATGTCATAATATGTTGATCATTTTCCGATTTGATGCATGCAATTTCTATTAACAGAATAATTACAGCTATCGATGATATGATCAATCGATTATCTGTGAAGACATGTTATAATGTACATACGTAAAATTGTTTTATAAATTAGTATTGACTAATATAAGTTATATACATAACTTGTTAAAGTTTCTTAATTCACATACATGGTTACATTTGAAACACTCAAAATAAGATTCTTAGGGGTCTCGTTTGTATAGAAATATGACTATTTTGGTTTCTACTTTCTATGTGTGATCACAAACAAACCCAAGTTTGCTCAGAAAGAAATATGTACAAAAGAAACAAAAACCGGTTAACATTTCATTAAATCACAACAAGATCAAACGCAAATAGGAATCACATTGTTGAGCTTTGTGTCTTATGAATCTCTACTGGTGGAAAGGGATTCAGATTTTGTGAAGAATTCCTTTTAGACTTTACTGAATGGATGAAAAGTTGTAAACTAATACATCAAGAAGGGATACAATAAACCGAATTACCTGATTTATACCAAACAAAACCTGGTTTGATCCCAATGTCCTTTTTTACAATGGTTAATTATGTTATTAAAAACTATGGTAACAATAGAAGACATTACATCTAACTATTCTACTTGTTTTATGAATATCTACTCTATTAAAATAGGGTCATTCTTTTTATCTACTGATATAAGTTATCATTTAAATTTGGACCATTTCTAAAGTGTTACAAATAATACAAGTCATATAGTTGATTGAACCGCATTACTTAAATTAAACCGGCGGTTATTTATGGAATAGAGTTTTGGGCTTACTTTTATTTTTATGACATTGAATAAACTTTTCACCTTAATGGATCAAAAAATCAATTAATATTTTCAGGGCCAAAAATATTAAATATTTTTAACAAAACAAAATTAGTTATTATTAATCATTTATTTAATTAGTTTGGTTTTTGGGCTTAGTATTAAGGAAAAACTCCAAAAAACATTGAATAAAATTTCTACCTTAATGGATTAAAAAATCAGTTATTATTTTCAAGCCCAAAAGATATTTAATATTTTTAACAAAAAAAATTTATCTATTATTAATTATTTATTTAAATCATGTACTTTAAAACATGTTAATGTATTTTTATTTTAAATAACAATCACTTTGTTATGATAAATTTCAGTGGTGACTTTAACTTAATTATTATTTTATTTCTCTTAAATAATTTACTGATTTAAAAAAATGTAAAGCAAAACCAAAAACCAAATCTAAAAACTAAAACTACAAAAGCAGGTTATATTTTTTTCCTTTTGTTTATTTACAAAATAAACTATTGCAAATTTCTTTTAAATTTTTTTTGTCATCTTTTCAGTTTTAAATTAGATGTTCGATAATTTGGGATTTGTTTGTTGGTAATATCAGTTCAAACTAACTCAGCGGGTCTAAAAATTAAAACCCTAACCAAAAACTGAAAATAAAAATAGAAACTTAAAAACTAAAAACCAAAAACCAAAATCTAAAACAAAATCTAAAAATAAAAACTAAAACTAAAATAAAAAACTAATAAAAACAATCATCACCACAAATTTTGGTGAATTGATTGTATCCCAAAATACTCTTTATATTAAGATAAAACCCAATTATATAAATTTTAATCATAAAAAATTTCCGCGTTTTTCAAACGCGGGTCAAAATCTAGTTTACGTTTAACTTCATCAATTTGAACCGTGCAGTGAAATATTTTCAAAACTTAGATTTCTTGTGTAAAAGTATTAATATATTCTTAGTCAAACCAGATCCCTTTTTCTATAATATAGCTTAAAAATGCTAAGAAATCTATAATTTAGTCATAAAAAAGTAATTATGTATTTGTTTATTTTAATATAAAGGTATATTTTGGTGAAGATAAGAATACAGTTATTTGGTCAAACATAAGGTGATAATTTATTTGGAACTTTTGCAAATGAAATTATTTTTTTTGTAGCATTTACCCTTGAATTTGAGAATCTCTAAATTAAATATCTCGAGGGAACAAAAGGAAAAAGATCGGAAACAAAAGGAAGGGAAAATAGTCAAAGAGAAAATCTAGGCGGCAACCTTTGACGTCATCTTTCTCATGAGTCATAAAAACAACCCTAGCTTCTTCTTCTTCCATCACCTGTTCACTCTCTCTTTCTCTGAATCATGAACTCCGACGAGCAAAACACGATGGACTGGTCTGAGGATGATAACATCTCTGATTCCGCAACCAACGCCATGCGTGGCAACGTCACACTAGTTGCCATTGTAATCCTTTTCTTCATCGTCATGGTAGTGGCCCTCTTCTATCTCTACGATCACTGGAAACTCCCCGGCTCTAGGAGTCATCACATCCGCAGCCGTAACCGCCGCCCTACAATGGTTTTCTTCGTCCCCACTAATCCTTCTCATACAGCCTCGCGCGGTCTACATCCCGCCATCCTTAATTCTCTCCCTGTTGTCACTTTCTCCTCTTCCTCCGAAGACGCAGCAACTCGCAGGGATCTCATTGATTGCGCGGTTTGTCTTTCGGAGTTCGAGGAGGGAGAATCGGGTCGGGTTTTGCCCCGTTGTAATCACGCTTTTCATGTTGAGTGTATTGATATGTGGTTTCATTCTCATTCCACTTGTCCTCTATGTCGCACTCTGGTTGAGCCTCTCGGCGGAAATGAAGTACCTGTGGAGGAGCAAGTCGCGATCATCACGATTCCTCCTGTACCGGTTTCTGCTACTGAACCAGGATCGACCTCGGGATCTGGATCTTCTGCGATGCCGTTGGATGTTTTAGGGAGAAATCCGGCGGCGATTGAGGTGCCAAGGAGAAATTTCACTCGGATGTTGAGCAGAGATAGATGAAGCGCTTTGTCTTCTTTCCTTGGAGCTTCGTCTCAATCTGCCGGATAGTGATGTTTGAATCGGGTATTGAGCGGGAAAGGAGAAGAGAATAAGTGATTTCCGCAACATGGATGTTCCTTAGTGGTTTGATTATGGATATTAACAACAAGTAGTAGAGTATAACCAAAATTTAGAGAATTTTTATTGCTAAGAAATATAAAGAAAATATATTACATATTCAATATAAATATTTAAATATTTTTTTCTGTTGTTTCATTGTGGTTTATTTGTATAATTTAGTTTTAAAATCTAAAAAGGATTGAATCATTTACAAAGTAGAAAATGAAGGTAATAGTTTTGTTTCTATTGCTTCAACTAATTAAGGAACCCGTGCGATATTGGACGGGAATTCATTTAAAAAAATAAATATTTCATATTTTATAAAAACAATTATAACAATGGTTTACAATTGTTTTACGAAGAAATACATGTGTTACAAAATTATCTTGCATACATCTGTATTCCTTTATTAATAATACTAAAAATCTATATTGTATTTCTAGATTTGGTTGTAATAAAATTACAAACATGTAAATACAAAATAAGATATATGCCTTATTATATGTATATCTAAGTTACTTAAAAAAATAGTAAACAACTGATATTTTACCTTATTTCAAGTCATGAGCTACACAAATTTATTTGTAAAATAAATAATCCAAATCTCATTCTAAGATACATAAACAACAGATAAAGTTTCTTATATTTAATGTGTTTTTTAAGATCTTTGATGACTAATTGAAAAAGTAGATCTTTGTTTTCATCTCTACTACATATTTGTTTTTATTATGATATGTCAATTACCATAACTACTTATATAAGTTAAAATTTGCAATGGTTAACAACCAAACATTATAATGTTTGGCTACGGGTTCTAATTGTTAATACTAAAAATTGCAATTGTTCATCTCCAAAGTCTATCATTACCAATAGTTGCATTGATTTATCATAGTTATAATAGTTCATCACTAAAAATTACCATCACTAATAATCGCAGTAGTTTACAAATATATAATAATAGAAAATAGTTTAAAAATACACTGATATACTTATATAATGTACTAACTATAGTTTCTCAAAAATCTATACAAGAATGGTTACAACTTTCATATTTGAGATCATTAATTTTAGATGTACATTTAGCATGAAAAGAACATTTTTGGATATAAAGACACATTATTTATTGTGTTGTTTGTCTCTCCAAGTTCAAGGAGGGAGAATCAGGTCGGGTTTTGCCTGGTTGTAAACACGCTTTTCATGTTGAATGTATTGATATGTTGTTTCATTCTCACTGAACTTGTCCTCTCTGCCGCTCTCTCGTCGAACCTTTGGAGGAGCAAGTCGTGATCATGACCCCTTCTGTAGTGGTTTTTGCAACTGAACCAGGATCGACCTCGGGATCTGGATCTTCTGCGATGCTGTTCGATGATTTAGGGAAAAATCCGGAGACTATTGAGGTGCCGAGGAGAAATTTTCGTCAGATATTAAGCAGAGATCGAATAAGGGCTTTGTCTTCTTTTGTTGAGGCTCTGTTTCAATCAGAGCCCTCGTCAAGCTGCGGGATTGTGAGGACAGAATCAGATATTGAGAGGGGAGAAGAGATTAAGTGATTTCCGCAGCGTGGATGTTCCTTAGTGGTCTTGATTATTTATATTAACAGGAGTATATCTATTTACCAAAACATGAACTTTCTGTTTTGGAAACGAAAAGAAGTGGTTCCTCAGAGACCACAATTCGACACCTTTCCATGGATCTGTTGGTATATTTGGAAGGCAAGAAATGACAAACTTTTATTGGGAAAGACATATCTCCAATGGACACTCTTCAACATGTGTCTCTTGAGGCAAAATGTTGGAGGAAGGCAAGTGAGAAGGAGGAAGTAAATGAGGATCATGAGTTGCCTCTTAGTTCAGAGCCCCCTAGGATCCCCCAAACCTCTACATGCCAAATTGATGAATCATGGATCGATAATAGTAGTGTCAGTGACTTAGGGTGGAATCTCAAGGATCAAATGGGTTCTGAATGGCTCGGATTACGGGAGTGTAGAAGGAGCCTATCAGCTCTGCATGCTGAGATGGAAGGCCTACTATGGACAGTCTCATGTATGCGAGACTTGAGGATTATTTCGATACGGAATGAGATGGACTGCTCGGATCTAGTGGATATGTCTACTATACCGGAGGACTGGCCGGCTTTCGCGATAGAGATCGAGGTGTTTCAGCGATTACGGGAGGACTTCGAGGATGTGAGTCTGTCTCATATTCCGTGGAGTAGAAATGGACGAGCATATGCACTAGCTAAAGAAGCAACGAGTAGAGGCTATTCATTTTTCCATATAGATCACACCCGGCCAGACTAAATTTCTTCTCGGAGAATCGACTGGACTGATTACCACTTGATCTAGAGTAAATGGGCGACTGACAAAAAAAAAACTATGGTTTAGAGCATTTTTATTGCTAAGAAATATAAATAAAACATATTAACAATATAAATATTTTAATAATTTGTTTTTATTTTTAAATATTTATTATATAATTAAGTTTAAATTTTAAAAAGGATGGAACCATTTACAAAATAGACAATGGGGGTAATAGTTTTGTTTCTATATAAATGATTGATGGGGCTCTCCAAATCTTAGATACCCATCCAACAGTTCCTCATACCATGGATGAAAGTGCTCTTATATATTTTTATATTTTTATATTACTACGCACTAAGCCGAACCAATTAAACTTCTACACAAGAAAATGGATTTCTCTTGGTTCACAAAAACATGTTTTCGACATTTCCTCAATTTTCATTCTTCTATCAGTCACTCCTTATATTTTTCGACTGGCAAAGTCACGAAGGCACTAGTTTATCAGCTCTGCTCAGCACCGTCAATTTACAAACACTTACTGCGTTGCTTGGCTGAACTCTGACCCGAAAACATTAACCCTTGACTTACACGACCTTGTCGGTATGGTCATCCAAAAGAGACAAGAACCTAGAGATCACAAAAGTCTTAGCCAAGACCACACGATTGATCCAAACTCTCAAGATTTCATATCGGACTTTCCGTGAAAAGTTGTGAATTATCTATTAAAGCTCTCGAAGGCGCTACCTGTTAGCAAGTAAAGCTGCTTTTAAAGCCTTCGACAGTATAACGATGTGTGAATTTATACTTAAAAGACAGACGTGTGTCCACGCAATCTATGTTTGAAAGAATGTGTAACATTGATAAGGTTTTCTCCGACCTTTTTGGCGTTTTGATTCTATACGTTTTATGGCAAAACATATTAAATGTCATCGACTCTGGTGTTTAACCTAAAAGCCAATAGATGCATACACTCACAGTCAACTTGCAATAATTTATCATTAATCAGAATTTGTGGTATAACTAAGAATCAGAAACATCAACAATCCTGTCCAAGAACTTGTATTAATAGTTCTGCGGAAGCAACCAACCGCAAGCATTTATAAATACTTAACCTCAGGGACAATAACTTTTCCAAAAATAACCAAAGATGGCAACATACATGATGAACAACGTTCTTGTGTCTTGTCTGATGTTTTTTCCTGAGGATTGTTTCCTTAAACGCAAAAGCTGGTGACTAGAAAAGCAATTTGCGGTAAAGCAGAAACCCATCCTTCTGTACAAACTACATGAAAGCAAACCCAAAGACTTCAGGTGCTGATATCAAACGCTAGCAACGTTCCCATTAGCCTCTGCACAAACACGCGCATCAGTAGCTTTGACGAAGTATCAAAATCTTGCCAAGAAAGAAACTAACCCCGCTTTGAAGAAAGGATACACCTCGCGTGGAGCAGTATACAATAATGAAATCAGCAGTCTCGATGAAGCTAATAAGAGCCTAGTGTCAGGAGATGGTCCAAGGCTGAACATCAAGGTCTCAGCAGCAATGAAAGGTCTTACAACGTGTCAAGATGGGTTTGCGGATCCGTCATCCCCAACGTGATGTGATTAGAAAGAGCTCTTGGTTCAGTCATACATACTTAAAACTTTTTTTTTTGCTTAAAAAGTTTATTTTTTGTTCGTAATTGAGAGTGCTTGTTTATGTTCTGTATCATACATACATATACACAATCAAGAACCCTGTCTCTTTTATATAGAAGAAAATAAAAGAGATTAAGAGACCATAAAGTATTCAAATCCTAACAGAAACACAATCAAATACATTCCAAATGAAACACTTCCATTATCAAGTAAATAAACTCATGATCGTTTTACAAACATCGCTGATTCAAGAAAGAAATGGACAGAAACATCATAACAACATCATTACTTTATTTCATGAAACATGACACACAAAAGAGGCATACACAGAGCCAATAAAAAAAGGATCAAAAGACAATGAAACTTTGCTGCTGCAAGATGATGATTTACACAGAGGTAGGCTTGTAGTCTATGACCAACACTTTATCCAAGCTGCCAAGGAACATGTTGGCGAACTCAACGTGACTAGGATGATGAACGTACTCAGCTACAGCTTCTTTGCTCTCAAAACTCGATTCAAAGATGTGTGTGAAACCTTGATGCAGATTCTCTATGCTCACATCTTTTCCCCTACATGAATTTAATTTTTAGGATTTAAACCAAAAAAAAAAAAGAATTTAATTTTTAGGTGAGAACTAGTAAAAGACAAGATAAGGCGCATGTTCTAACAAGATTCATTCAGTTTGGTTTTAACCTTAATCCAAAATTCACATTTTTGGTAGATGATAAAGTTAAGCCCGAAAGATTCAATTCAGATCTACGGTTTTAGTGATAAATCGTTCGATCATGACAGTAGCAATCAGATCAAAAAAAAAGCAGACAGAAGTTTACCATTGGAAAGCTTTCATAGGTTCGATGAGATTGACGAGGTTGGCGTAACCTTTGATAAGTTCATCGATCTTCTCTTCTGTTACGTCATCTTTGAACTTAGCAAGCAGAACATGCTTCACTGGTCCCTTTCCTTCCTCCATTTTCACCCTGCGATGCCCAGTGCTCTCTCTCTCGCTCTCCAATCTATATCTATAAGTCGCAGTTTATTTAATTGGACGGTCAAGATCTGATCCTACATAAGACTTTATTAGTTAAAACGTGCCAAACACGTGCGTCGCATTATTATTTTTCGGTATTATTAAATCAGGACCAGCAATCTCAGGCAGCTTCTAAAGCCTCTCATGTTCCCCAAACGCAAATTTGATGTTTGGCAGAATAGGTAAGAGCATCTCCGACCCCACTCCATAATTTACTGCAAAATGGAGTGAAAAATGGAGTGATGAAGAAACAAAAATCTCATTACTCCATATTTGAAGTAATCACTTTTTTATTTCTTCATTACTCCATTTTCCACTCCATTTTACAGTAAATTATGGAGTGAGGTTGGAGATGCTCTAACAGTACTGATAGCATTTTCTCCAACGTTATTGAGTTTCTTGATTCTTTTTTTTTTTTGGCAACATCTTGATTCTTTTATATTTCATTAACCTACAAGATGGATTATTATGCACTCAAAAGATATATTTACCAACATCCTAGAGTATTACAAAAAGAAGACAATATCCACACAATGGATTTTTCTTCCTCATCCAAGAAACATGCTTCTCGTCTCCGAGTGATGAATGTAAAAAAAAGCTATTCAGCTCAGATCAAAACCCGCTTCAGCGCTTATAGCGTACATCAATTTGGTTTCAAGTTGCTCTTTGCTGCACCATTGACAAAAAGATGTGTTTAGTAAGACCAATGATGAAGTTTTCTTGAAATGAGCAAAAAAAACCAAAGGTGTTACGAGAGGGAAGACCTTTGATAGGGAGGAAGCTTAAGAAGGTTCATACAAGTAGCTGATGTCGGTAGTCTATCAACTGCTTCATTACTCACGCTACCACCAGCCCTAATGAACATACATATCTTTATTATACATTGTGTTACTTCCCAAAAGTACGGTTTTTGAGAGTCTGTTTAAGGTTTTACCTCTGTATGCAGAATGCAGGTTCTAAGTATTTGAAACCGAGCAGTGGTCCTCTTGAACATCCCGTCACAAATCTGGAATTAAAGATGTTAGATGTTTACTTACCTCTCAGTTCCGTTGAATAAACACACACTTGACTTACTTTAAGAACTTCTTCTGGTTCTCGGATGAGAAGCTTTTAATTACTTCCCAAAACATATCAATCACATAATGTCCCTGTCAAGAACATCAACAACGATGTAAATCATTTATAACAATCTTCCAAACACACAACAGCATTTTGGCTGACAACGAGAGAACAACTCACAACGTTGTAGCCTCCACCATAATTGGTGTTCTTTCGCAAGTCGTCAATATCTAAACTATCGCCTGAACCAGATATGAGAACCTGCAAACCAAACCCCACAAAAAGGTTAAATCTATCTTTTCATGCTCTTTGAACTAACAACGGTGACATAATAACAAATTTTATTTTTAACCCTCTAAAGCATATTTATCAATAAGCACCTGTAGCTCATGTTCGTTGAACATATCGATCCTTTCTTTTGGAATGAGTTGCTGAAACCCCCTCAAGAAGTGAGAACTCTGTTGACGTATCTAAATACAAAAAAATGGTATATATATCAAAAGCTATTGATTTTTACAGGGTGCACTAACGTTTGCTAAGATAAACGAGAGGCAAGTGGTTACCAGGTACCTGAAAGTTTAACCGATGATTGGAAACCAGATGAATGAAAGTTATAACATTCTTATTTGTCACTCGCATGTCTTTTCCCCCAGGAAGTAGCTCTTCCTCTGTTCTCTCTCCATATTCATTGTTCACAATAACAAAGTAAAGCTCCAAGTCTGATATATCACCCTTATAACGCTGCAAGTATCATAATATAACTGTTATAGATAAAATGGTGGACAGAGCTCCAAAGAACATCCAGAAACCAACCAGGAACATGAACATGCAAATAGCTATTTCTCGGTTCCACAAATATAGAATGTTGAGCAAAACCAACCTTCAGAAATATAAGATGCCTATACAACTCAGGATCCAGAGAAGGCAAATCGTTCAAATAGTTGTACCTAGCCAACGAAAAATAGAAGCTTTACGACGTATTCACAAGGTCTACATGGGGTTAACAAACAAATGAATTGACAGAAAGTTGAAGGTAGAAATCAAATTTATAGTACTTTTGTTTCAGTTTACTGAGGAAAAACGTTGCAAATGGTATATCAACTAGAATCCCTTCAAACATAGCCTGCAACAAAATAAAGGGAAAAACACTTCATGAGTCTTATATAACAGATGGAATCAACCTTATTCTATAGAAAAGAAGGCCAAACTAAAGAAAATACATTCTATTTGCATGATGAATACATGGCGGGAAGAACTAGTAAAAGAAATATTGGTGACGTATACGACTATCACATCAATGCCACCAATCAAATATCATACTTTTGCGAGAAGGCTCCCGAGAAAATGAAAGAATTGGAGATGCTGCCCATGTATCATTCCTGATCCAGGATTAGGATAAAGCATGTGATCAGCGGTCTCCTGAAAAGAAAAGAAAAACCATGTTATAGATTTTATGGACAGACTACATGCGAACATGAAGAAATGTGCTAAATTATGAAATCCAAAAAAAAGTTTGAGTGAGCAGAGCCAGACAAACGACCTTAAACAATCCATACTGCACATCAAACGCTGCTAGGGTAATTTTCTCCATAAAGTCTTTGAAAATGCCACCACCATCAATACCGGCTTCCTCAACTCCGAGCTCATTGACAAATGTCACACGAATCTACAGTGATAGGAAAGAAAATATGCATTTTGCATTGTGAAAAAGTAATTGCTTGAAGACAAATATCCAGCAAAAGAGAGAGAACTTACTGGTCCTCGGAGACCATCCTCTGATAATGCACTCATTTGATTGTAAGCATCATCCAAGATGTGATCTCTTCGTATTCTGAACAGATTTCGAGCAAAAGTTTCTTCAGATCCATGACTCTGCCTCGCCGTTGCTAATTGTGTCTACAAATGATGTTCAGCAAATAAATGCAGCCGCAGCAAAGTAATCAGCGAACAAGTACCCAGATTACTCACGCAAGTATACGCTAATGAGCACTCCTAGGTTCTCAACCCCAACAAATGAAAATCCATCACCAGATATACACACCGTAACAACCACTCACTGTGAATATTTTGACTCTGCTTGTAAACGGAATTAGGAATGGAGCTTGCATCAGTATGTAGTTGGCTCTTGTACCTTCCACTACGGCCTGGAGAAAGGATAACAGTATCAGCAATGATAGGGGAAAATTAAGACCAAATCATTCAAGTTAATTAAGACCAAACAGTTAAAGTGAAGTAGTCACCTGAGTGATAAGATATTCATTGACTGTATCAGCTTGAAAGTCGCTCGAGGAAGTGAATTGTTGACGGTTGTTCCAATCTTGAAACTGCGGAAAGATTTCATCAACAAACAGAATAAAATGAACAATGACCTTTGCCAAGTTATACTTACTTACAGTCAAAATAGCAATAAAATGAACACTGACCTGTGAAAGTAACTCAGCGACTACAACCCCAACCCTGTTCTGAATCAGGCCAACATCGTTCTTCTTAAAGAGGTCGTTGGAGACAGATTTCGCGGAGTTATGTTGTGTAAGTGGATTCACCCATAGTAACTGCCATAAAGCCTGGGATAAACGAGCAAACACAAAAACAATTGGAAAATCAATGCATGGAATATTAGATGCTCTTTTTTTGGTGAGACCAATAGAAACTATTACCTAAAGATTGGCAGAAAATTTGAACAACCACTGCAACCTAAGGACATACCTAATTGCGTCTTAAATTTTGTGTCGCGTGTTCAAATTTTATGCAAGTGCCATAACTCCTAAAACTCTTCAAATTCAACGTTACACGGTTACTTAATGGATCCGTCAAAAAAACTTACTTGCTTGAGAATGATGATAAGCAACCTGATATCTTGTAGCGACAGTGGCTTCTCTCGTTCGTAAAACTCCTCACTGTCTACTATCATAAGCATATGCCTGATCAGTAACAACAATGTTAAATCAGCTTTAAGTATTCGACCACCCTCACTTACTAAACAGTCATACGAGAGAGTGACTTTCATGTAATAATACAGAAAAGTTGATATTAAATTGAGAAAACCTTACTTATAAACAGGACAAAAGACAGCCAGAGGTAATAGCCAGCCCGGGGCATCCGCTGGAAGATAAGGTAGGACACTAGGCATGGATGACCACTTCTGGTTCTCATGGCATCGTTTCATATAATTCCACAA